GGTCTCAGCAGAGCAGAGTAGAGGGGCAGAATCCCCTCCCTCGACCTGCTGGCCACGCTGCTTTGGATGCAGCCCAGGATACAATTGGCCTTCTGGGCTGCGAGCGCACATTGCCGGCTCATGTCCAGCTTTTCACCCACCAGTACCCCCAAGTCCTTCTCGGCAGGGCTGCTCTCCATCCCTCCATCCCCCAGCCTGTATTGATACCGGGGGTTGCCCCGACCCAGGTGCAGGACCCTGCACTTGGCCTTGTTAAACCTTGTGAGGTTCACACGGGCCCACTTCTTGAGCTTGTCCAGTTCCCTCTGGCCCTGGACTGTTCAGTTCTCATACAATACTTGGCCCCTGTGCTGAGCCTGCTAACGAGAATAGGGACAAGAGTGCAAAATAACCCAATACTGAAACACACCCCAGGTTCTACAGCCTATTCTGCATCTTTATGACACACTGCATGGCAACATGAAAGACTGAGTGAGGTGCAAACACAGTCTGAGACACTACTGAACACCCCCAAACTGTCCAGTCTCCTGGATTTGATGTTATACAGTTACCTCTTCATCCTCATCCTCATCTTCAACATCCAGGATACCCGAATCCTGCTCAGACATGGGGCTAGTGTTTTTTACCTCCAGATCTGAGCTTGCGCAGACTTCTTTCTTGGACTTCTTTCCCCCGCCTATCCTGGGATGCTGTGATACAATATTGTCCAGGTTTCTTTGCTGCTGCGCCTAGAAAAAAAAAAAAGCAGATTTCACGTTTTACGATAGCATCCTTGGATTTATATTTTTTTTTTCAGCCAAAAGATGCAATCAGTCATGAAATACGACAAATGAGACAAAATAAAACACACACTTAATGGAACTTAGAAATGTTATGTTTTTCCTGACCCAGATCTTCCAAAGAAACAGAAGATTCATTTCAAAACCATTCCAGGGATTATGCAACAATACAAACAATATTCTGACTCTTCACAAATCAAAATGCCAAACCCATCATACTGCCATATTGATCTATTTACAGCACAGATGCAGAAATATTAGCCCATAGGCCATGTGGTGACTGTCACAGGCTAAATTAAAGGACGTACTTAACCGTTGGATTTGTTCCTCTTTTCAACCCATGTCAGCACAAAACATTCCACATCTGGACCCCAGAGGTTCCTGAAAGCATTTTTGTGGTACCCCAGGAGAGCTTAATTATACGTTGCCGATGTACAGAATGAGCTGTAAAAGGTATTGAACAAAAAATCCGCTTGCTGGGAGAAGCACCACGATTCAGGGAGCAAACCACATGGACTCAGCGGAGCTCCCTCGAACCGCTGTCGATACCTGTTCCCGGGGCTTTGGAGTTTGTCTGCAGCGGAGGTCAACGCATGTGCTCTGCTGCAAAAACTCACTTGGCTTCCTTATTGTTACCAAGCACAATATTTGACAGGAAAAATGGTTTAGCCCCAATTGTTCAAGAGAGTTGACCAAGAACTTCAAACTGAAGGGGAAGGGTAAGGAGGGGGCATGGCACAGACACTGTTCTTGCCACAAATGCCAAATCATGGCCAAAACAAGGGGAAAAAGGCCAAGCCAACGGATGCAGTGGTTCTGCACATGTGGGCTCTGGTGTAACTAGAAACTAAACGCTCTGAAAACCTGAAATTTATATGGATATATACACACAGATTTATAGGATCCTTCCCATATTTTTCTATAAATTTTTAATATATAGAAGAAAGGTGTATGGAAATCATCCAGATGTCTTTCTGAAAGTATTATTTTAGATGGTAAGTTTCTTTTTAAAAAAAGAATGAGTTTTATATATATTTCAGTTATTAATATAAACTCTATTTCTAGCAATTACCTGTACAGCCCGAATCAAACCTGCACCCGTGTATTTTATTGCTCCCCTGCAACAGGAGAAAAATGAGGTGGCAAAAGGGAACCATCCCCTGCCCCACGCCAACGTGACAGCCTGGCTTTAGAAGGAAGAAGGAATACTAGAAATCATATTGTAGATACTGACGTCAGTGAAACCAACTGTGCTAGGAAAACAATAGAGAATTAAAACAAGCGGAACCTATTAAAAAAACCCAAACTAATTACTTTTGCTACCTGAACTGAGAAAGTAGAAAGCTCTATCTAGGACGCAAACCTTCAAAATTACTTTCTTTTAAACACTTAAAAGTTTTAATATCACACAAAAATAATTTATGAGCAAGTTTTATTTTGACAGCCTCTCTCAGCTCAACTCCCTTTTGAATCCCTCCTTGGGAAGAAAGACCCCACCAGAGACCGATCACTTGCGTAGTTTCTAGATCTGAAGAATATTAAAACCCAAGCACGGCACAGATATCCCAACCCTTGCAAAATCCAGTGGGCTCTACCGTTGTGTAAGGCAAAGTGCCCTTCACACCGGGCACATACAATCGGCTTCATCTTAATTGCCAAACGTGGCAATTGATAATGAAATCAAATACATATAGCTGACACTGGACGTGGTTGCCCCAGGAATTAGAGCTAAACCTTACATGATGCGCAGCCCTGTGCTCTGCCACAGCACAATCTTGACCTCTAGTGGTTGGAGAGCAGTAGTATCCTACAAGTGCTCCTACAAGAGAAGTAACGGCTGAGCAAGGGCACTACCAACCAAGCTTATTAAAAAGACCTCTTAAGGGATGAGTCTCAACAATAGGGATTTTTGCAACAAAGCCACAGGAAAAGGTCTGTGTGAACACTGCTGAAGACAAATTTTGCTAGCAATGTCAATATTTGAAGCAACTGGGGGAAAAGGGGTATTTTTCGCATTAGAAATCTCTAACTTCAGAGGCACAACTGTATAGAAAGACATTGCAACATCATATAAAGAGAATTAGGACTTCAAAAAGGGGAGTGAACGTTTGGTTCTTCTGAAGCCCACACAACAAAGATTCGAGGCTCGATTCCACCCTTAGATACGCCCATTTATGACATAAGTTACTCAACTGAAGCGTAATGAAGTTTTAACACTGAATCCACTGTAAATTACACCAAAAGCAAGCCCACTGCACTCATTAAAATCTCTCAAATTTATGTAATCTTTTTTCCTCTAGAAAGGGAAGAAATCAAAGAATGGGAAAATGCAAAGTTTTGGATAAAACATTGCACTTGAAACGGATCATTAAACAGGGCGTAGCAAGATCACAGCAGAAAAAGTGGTCATAGAAGAGGAAAAATCTGGGCTAACAAGCTGAAGGATGCTGCCGCCAGCTCTGAACTTCACTGTCGAAGCCCTAAGCACGTAACATTCAGCATTTTAGGCTGAACACAGAATTAGCCTCAACAGAGGACCTTGTGGACATGTTCTCAGAAGACACATTATCTTGCTCCCCCATCTCTTTTCAAACAAGAGGTATTAATGTCAGCCTTCAGCTTCAGCTATGCTCACAAGAGGAGTACAGTAGTACACAACATCTATTAACCAGATGTCAATATTGGTAAGATCCAAATCAAATATTGGTAAGATCTGAATCAAAAGCCCAAAGTCAAGAAAGTCTGTCCTTCCAGAAAAAGCCATCGCTCTAGGCCAAGGAGTTCAACATCCAAATTCAAACGCCACGTTTTGTATTTTGCATACTTTAAATGCAAATAAACTGAAGTTTATCAAGAGAAAAATTTTGACCTGAATTAAAGTCCGGGGACCTACTGGGAAAAAGAAAAAAGGAAAAAAAAAAAAAAAGTATGTCCCACCTCCCAGAGAGCCACAAAAAGCAGCCAGAGAGATGCTCCCAATGGCACAAAAGCTTTGCAGCCTACCAAGAGCAATTTTTACCTTTAGGAATTTGGAGGGGGCGAAGTTCTAAATTAGAAGAGATTTTCTAGGGGTTTCTACCTTAAAGACCAACAAATGGCCCCAAAGTAACCCAGTCAATGTTTATTCCCTTCCAGCACACTAGTGCACATCACAGCACGTAACCCCCATCTCGCACAGCCGCCGCTCAGTCATACGATGGGCGCAGCCCATCAATAGCCGGCTGGGAGCCCGAGGAGTCGGCACGATACGAGCAGAGCCCATAACCTAGGTGTTATGCTGGAATGACACAACGTACACGCCAGAAAAAATAGTAATTGCTTTTCCATTAACAGGAGGGCATTTCCCCCACCCCCACTCTTGGCAGGAAACATTCTGGACTGAAGTGACCTGTAAGTGAGAAATATCAAATTTTCTTTAACTTCGGCAGGCTTGGGTGAAGTCACTGAGGTTTCAGTTTCACCTTGAGAGAAAGAGAGAGCTGGGGAGAGGCCCAGAGGAAGCAACTAAGGAGAAATTTGGGCTTAACCGCCAAGGAACTCCCTGCTCCTACCCCCATCTCGTTACCCGCACCTTCCCAGGCTGGGGGTGCAGCAGAACAACTCTGCAATATATTTGATGTCGCACATAAAGGATGAAAAATGACCTGCAGAGCAGGCACGTTTGGATTTTAATGTTCTGTTTCACATAAAGGCATCTGTAGGGAGCCCAATGAAGAGGCACACTTTAGAAACCACATCAAAGCACAGGCGACACTCCAGCGTGCCCTCTGAAAACAGAGGGACCTGGGGCTACGGGGGAGGCGAAAAACCCTCAAGGGACCAAAATCAAATAAATCCCCTTACCTTTTGGTGTGGTTTACATGAAAGCAAGTGCATTTTTGTATTATTCTGTAAAATTGCCTCTATTATACAAGACTATCAATCTCTTGACTCTCTGCTTAATGTGACGATTAAAAAAAAAAAAAAAGGTAAGAAACCAAATGTCTGTTCATAGCTAATGTTACATTTAGCAATAACACACAAAGCGTTTGGTTCACGTAGCTGAAACTCCCTCCAAGCACAGCTACTTTCTTCATCCACGTGATTAGCACAGCAGTCTGGCAGCCTCCTTGCAGCACAGGAACACCCTACGCCGCTCTGACACGGCAGAAATCCCAGTCCCCCTGACAGGCTGGTTGATATAAGAAGCAAAGGCAGCTTTCCACCTCCAGGTTTAGGTCAGTGACCTGTGTTTGCTGTTGTAACTGGACCAGGGTTGGCCATCAGGCTGTTTAGGAGACCTTCATCTCCGCAGCTGAGAAGCTGGTGGGTTTTGTTGGCTGAATGCAACCAGAAGAATCAACCTCTTTTGCTGTTGTTCCTTGAGAAACAGAAAATCAAAGAAAGAAGGGAAAAAAGCACTTCTACTTTTATTACATGTTTTCTCTCCCCAGCCATCCGCTTCTTTTATGTTACCTGTACGCCACTCCGCCAAGTGCTCAACCTTGCAGGACGTGGCTTTGCAGGTTTTCCCTTCAAGCCTGTCGTACAAGAGTCCTAAATACAAGTCCTCAATATAAGTCAATCCTGAAATGGCTGCCACAAGCTTCGGAGCAGGGACTCCACCTTCACCACCCATCGCAACTCAACCGAGCCAACCCAACCGACCAAGCGCACAGACCCGACGTTCTGCATGAGAAATTAAATGTGTTGGCTTAAAAACACTACTGACAAGTAGTAGTTGAATTTTTCAAAGTAACTTGAGTGCTTGTGATCAAGCGAACACGGCCCCAAACCTGCAACCCCAACCTGCGTAGCTAAGCTGGGGAATGACATGGAGTAGCAGAGCAGGTCATGGACTTCTCCAGGCTCTGCCTACAGAAGCCATACCCACTGTAAGGGCAAGCTGTTATACCACCTACACGGTGAACGAGCTCCTTTAAAACTCAAATAGCTTTTTATAGCGTTTT